CCACCACAACGCGGAGTGCTTGTTACGGTTATTGATAACCTTCATATCAGCTTTGGTCATACTGGTGATCAAACAGTGCAAGGAATTTTGAAAGGCGACTTACGGTTGATTGTGTTCACCCATGCTCATGCAGGCCCGTATCTTCAGCCACTTGTTGAGGAGAACAGTCCCGTTCTGCTGGGCCTAGCTTCGTCAGACTAACTTGACACAGCTGCTAGATTCGTCAATCAGAGGGGTGCCAAGATCTGTAAACAACCCCACGAATATGTCATACTGACTATCCTCGACCGCCATCTTACAGGCCCCTCACTTCAACCCGTTCTTGAGGAATACATCCCCGTCCTGTTGGGTCTGACGAAATTAGAGTCACTCGACACGGCCGTCAATCTCGGCTGGACCAATCACTTGGCTCGGGACTCGGCCACGGAGTTGCGCAGCGCCAAGTATGAGCTGGTGTCAATACTCCAAGTGATGGCGGTCGCGTTCGTTGAAGACGCAGGGAGGGCGTTACAGACCCAGGGGGATAAGGAAGGTACGAATTCATCTCAACCTATCACTGTCTCTTCGAACTCGCCCTGTTTGAGTTGCAGGTTGTGTGAGCTGAGGCAGAGGTGACAAGGTTTTTCGAATCTTGCCATCTAATGTTCGATGGGCCAAGCGAAACGCGTTTTGTATGGCATCCCCTTCTGCGTAATTTTGTGGTCGTTTCGACTCTCTTCCGTGCACTTGCTTTCGGATCCTTGCGACCCTTGTCTTCAGTACGTTGCCCTTCGATCTCTTTGTCTTTCCCAGGACACCTGCTCCGTTCTTTTTTTCTTTTCTGTGAATCGGTCTTTCAGCTATGCTGGCACTAGGAGTTTGTTCTGCGCAATCAGTTTGTGAACCCTTCAACGTCGGGTATTTCAAGTCTTCTGACATCTTCATGAAAGCGTCAGCAACGAAATGGAGAGCTGTATCTGATTCGACTATATTCGTTAATTATGAGAAGCTCTGGCGGAAAACCACTTGTGGTATCTGGCGTGCCTTGCCCAAACGTGGCCAGTCAAGACATTTAGGCGGCAGCCTGAACTGTAGCTTAGCTTTAAGCTCTGAGTACTCCTTCTCAAGGAGAGTCTCTCCAAACAGTTCCTACCCGAAAATGGGAATCAATCTGGATTCCCAGAAAAACTCTCACGAGACGACTGTTCGGATACTTTCTTCCTAATATCTCCGGTCAATCTCAAAAAGAATCATTTTTGATTCGGATTTTCTTGCAGTCGGCCTGGCAGAAATGAAGGCAGCCTTCGCGGCCCTACTGAAAGCGGCGGGGATTTTGCAGCAGAGCATCGGGAGTGTGCTGCCCAACGAGATGGATGTACACGCTAGGTAAGCAAAACGTTTCTTGACGGTCGTTGTTATTGTGGAGAGCATTGCTGCATTCGGAGCGGATTGCCCTCAAGGTGAGGAAGAATATTTAAATTGGCGCTTTCTGGCATCCGAATATGTTTCGTGAACACTCGCATCTAAGTCCGGAACACGTTTTGTACCTGCCTCCAGCTCGGAACACGAGCTGTCGCTTTCTCATTTTCGACCCGTCACCTATTGCTCGAGCAGAGTGTTTCTCTCTCCCTCAAGAGAGACAGAATTGTTGCTGTAAGCAGCGGGAAGAGTATCGGCGGAGTTAGACCGTGGACGAAGTCAAATCACGACGAACTCAAGGCAGATACGAAGCTCGTCGATACCTGAGCTTCGCAAATTCAGACAAGAATGTTGGGAACGTTGAGAAGAGTCTCGCGATCGAGAAGCGCTAAGGTTCGCTGTCCTCTTCTGCACGGGCCTTTGAAAGGGGTCATGATACACGATGTAACGACACTCGGCTCAATGAAGCATCTACCGAGCAGCGCCTTATTACTTGACGCGATCTACGGCGCATTCCGTAAAGCGAAACGCCCTATTGGAGTCCTCCAAGTGCCTCTTATGGAACAGAATCTCTGCTCACGGCATTCTTACATGCCTCCTAGACGAACTCCGCTGGTGACGTCACTTTAGTGTGCTTGTGGTGCTGTTGTGGGAGTGATAATAACGGTGCTAGGAGCCATCGACGAACACAGGCTCGGTTTCAATGAGCTATCTTTTGCAAGATGAGTTTCAAGTTTGAAGCTTCCCTGCTGACAAGATTCTCGACACGGTTCTGCAGGACAAACCTCCCCGCTGACGTCACCCCCGGCGCCCTGAAGGCGCTGTTCCGGCAGTGCCTGGCGCAGGCGGCGGAGCTGCAGCTGCAGCTGGACCGGAGCAAGGAGGACGTGCCACCTGCCACGCGGCGGGATGTGGCGTGCGAGGCGGTCGTGCACTGGGGCGAGGTGAGAGTTGTACACTTCAATTCGTGGACAATAAGCCCAGTGGCCTCGATCTGACAAAACGACCGAAACCAAAGGTTTACGAGCTCTACCCCTGTACCCAACACTACCCCCTAACTAACCTTCCACTATTTCTCTTTCAAAGCCTACCAGCCAGTTCGGTTTTGAGTGATGCCGACTGCAATACTTTAGCCGTCCAAAAGTCGAAAATGGCAGAATTGAAAAGCCCGGATCTTGTTGATTGGCACTCACAAAACGTTGGGGCACGGCGGGTGGGTTTAGATATAACCCACACAAGGGCGGCGAGGGCAAAGGAAACTATTTGAATGTAGCCTGACTGCGGTGTCGCTGTTAAGCCAGCCAGATGCGACAAAGGTGTGATACTGTTGAGCGACTGTTGGACAACTTTTGGCGCTCGGAGTATCCTTTTGGAGCCACTGGCCAGACGCCCTCTCCGAGAGCGACAGACCTCTACATACTCTGGTTGCAGAGGCCAAGGGGCTCTCAATCCAACCGTCAAAACGGCTTCGAAATTCTATCACAAGGATTCAGCTGTCTGTGCGCCCATGGCCGATTGTGAGACGGAATGCTTCGATATTGCAGGCCCGGGAATCGATGGCGACCGTATCTACCGGCGGTCCGCTGTTCGAGAAGTGGCTGGCATACGTCAAGTGGCGGCAAACGCTCGCCAAGGTAAAAACCGCTCAAAAGGGCTTTGGCACCCCGGTTTCCACATGTTGACTAGTTTCTGGGGGAAAAGTTGGCCTCAAAGGGTTTCGATTTGCGGCTGGCAAGAGTCGAAGTGGTTGCCCGACTGCATTGTGTACATTTTGGGCCTTGACTGTGGGGCTCGTGTGCCCGACGCACTTTCACCTATTCAAACGTTTTAATCTCCGGTATTTTTCTTAATATGAGTTCATCCGTGAGACCAGATGCAGGAAGTTCTTTGAGCGAAATAAGCATTTGAAAATCGAGTAGAGTCCATTTCTTGCTTGAAATGCTCCGGAAATTGCATGCTTTTTCCTTGCATGGTATCCATCACTCTTCTGACTGAGCCAAAAGCTCCTATTTTCTGAAATAATTAACTAACCCTCCATTGGTTGCCCCCAGAGTATTGCACCTTACGATCGCAGTCCCTCTGCTCGCAGGCTGTGGCTTACCAGCACAAGGGGCACACAATCTTATGTGCAATCTTATGTCGGATTAAATCAAAGAATGGCCCCAGCTTGCTCACACTTTGTCGAACCTTACGAGCGCAGTCCTCTACTCCCAGGCTGTCGCATATCATCAAGAGGGCCTCATTTTGGACGAGAAGGAAGACAAGGGGACGCACGGCAAGGCGGTCAAGGCGCTGAAGACGGCGGAGGAGCTGCTGAAAGAGAGCGAAGCCTTCTTGAAAGAGTTCAGTGAGAAGCAGCCGGCGACCATGTGAGTCCGAAACAACTCGGTTTCCAGAGTACCTACGTTTTCCAGTTCGCCTTCCGGTGAGCTTTGCCATATAAGAGTGCTTCAGGAAGCGCTCCTTCGCGCAGCGGGACACGACAAGTATGCTGAGATTACAAACCCTCTGCAAAAAGGCCCCACAGACACGTGAGGAGCCTCCGAATGCGACGTGTTCGTGTTTTGAACGTAGGATCTGGACCTCTTTTGGATAAGCAATCTCCGAGTCGGACTTGCCGGCGCGTTGCATCCGGTCAGGCCTCAGGAAACATCAGGCACTGCAAGACATATGAGTGTGCTCGCACTAAATAGAGGATTGGATACCGACGCATTTGCATATTGCACCTTATGATAAGCAGGTCAAATTCCAAGAAGGTCGGAAGTATCATCAAATGTTGGCGATACAGGAAAACCAAGCGCTTAACTTCTCGACGCCTGCTCCTGTCATGGCTGCCCGCGCATCCTTCCCTGCTGTGGGGGTTATTTTCATGGCCTTAAGTAGCGTTCCGCTTTTATGTTCTGCAGGCCGGTAACTGCATCCCCACTCATCAAGGACCTCAGAGAACGCTTGCCAAAGGACTCCGGAAAGATTGGCCGGTTCAATACGAACGTCTACTATGAAAAGTGAGCTCATCCTTATTGATAGCAGGGGTTTGATTTTAGTGAGACCTACCCAGATTGTGTTCTGTGACACACCTCGTGAGCTTTGCCCGGGCGCTTTACCTGTTGCGGCCTCAGCACTCGTTCAGTTGAACTTGCGAGCCTGTTTGCAAGCTTCGCTTGGTTGCTCGATCAGTTTGTTAGCTCGAAAATCCACCCCTGTCGTGAGTTCAAATCGCAACAGTGTTCTGCTCAAAACCCGCCGCCTGAGGCTTTGATGCTCCGTCCAAGTATGGACGACCCATATTGGCGACGCCCGTTACTTGTTTGCTTGCCCTTTTGTTACATGGATCTGCTTTCCGTAGTGTTGCTGTTGATATCCTCAGAGATCTTTTACGAAAGACCGCGTGTTTGCCATACTTTCTCCTGGTCCATTTTTCTGACCGCAAGATGTGCATCTCTGCAGGGAGCCTGACGACCCTCCCGAGTTGCCCAAGCCCTCGTTCACCATCAAACCGGAGCCCTACACCTTGCCAGAAATTGACCGGGCTTGGGGGAGCTCTAGTTCTGGTGATAGTGGGGGTTCGCATGCTGTACGTCCGCCAATAACCGAAACCGAGGTGCCGCTTTCCGTTTCAGGTCAAGGAGAGATGTCGAAACCAAGTTCAAAAGTTGAGGCTGCTCCAGAGGTTAGAGTAGAAACTAAGACCGAGGCAGTTGCAGCTTCCTGACCAGTCGACATGAGGATGCCTGAGAACGGGAGTGCTCAGTTACTGGAGTGCGGAGTCAGCAATTGTTGGTACACTGTTCGGTGCATAGACTAGAACACACAAGTTGGGGTTTCTTGTTGGGAGCAACTACCGTAGACAGAGTGGGTTTATGGGTTGATCTACCTTTGCGTATATGTATCGGTCTCTTGACGCGTCATGTCACTGAGTGCTAGTGCTCTGAATATTGTGCCATTCCATTCTGAAGTTCGTGCCAGCACGTTCAAACAGAGAAACAGTACAGATCGGATACTCAAGACGTGTGATATTGACGAGTTCTCGAGCCGGTGGCTTTTCGAAAGGGCGCCAATTTATGCAATGCCCCCGGCCTTCAAGTTACTTCATTCGTCAAACCGTTGGATGTGAAGATTCTTATGAAGTCCGAGAAGTCGAAGTGCAAGATAACATACAACCGTCGATTCAATTCATTTCGATATGTAAGTTGTAACCACATCGACGGTTGCAGATCAAGATTGGACTCATGTGAGTCAGCGCCCGCGCGCCGACGTGCATACATCCATGAAGGTCCTTCGAGAGCTGGGCTGAGCGCAGCATGAGGCCTCTGTCCTCCCTGAATCCTGTTCTTCTTTGCTGAGCGCCGGGAAGCTGAGGCGTTGGCAGCTCGAGCAAGGCTTTCTTTGATGGTGCTCCCGGCTCGAGCCACCGCTGGAAGTTGAAAGTATAGCTTGCTCTTTTTCATAGCTAGAACGCACGCCACTTTTTGGCAGATACAGGAGCATCTGATGAGATGCTGAGGCTTAAATCTGGCAGCACTCGAGCTTCTCGAGTTGAGCCAAGGATCAAAGGCTTGCAGCCAACTGAAATAGAGAAATAACGCACTGCGGTTGCTTGCCGTTTGACCGGAAGCCCTTACTTTCCAAACCTCTTTCTAAGCCCTACTCTGTCAGCAATGGCAAGACCATCCCTCGATGACATTACACCCGAGCTCGAGCGCGTGTGGAGCACCGACCCCTCATCCCCTGATGTCTCCATCCACTCTTACGCACATAGTCCCGTCCATGCTGCAGTCCTGTCCAAAGACCATGCAGCACTTAACGCAATTTTGAGAATTCTCCCCAAACCAGCTTTGGAGGGGAGTGTCCTAACTGAAGAGCAGTCTATCAAAGCTGAGGAAGATGCCGAGGCTGCCTCTGCAATGATTGACAGGCGGGACGTGCCGGGGAAGGTGAGTGGGGCAGCGCCTAGTTTCAAAAGCTGCGAGGTGGCGAGAGTGTCATGGCTTGAACGATCTGGGGGCCGGGCTTGGCTCCAGAATCAACACTTTGTGATTGTAGCATTATTGGTTCAAGTAGTCTCGCAGATGGTCACCCATCTGCTGACTTTCATACGGGTGTACACTGTTTGGAGGCGGTGCATAATCTCGTGCGGCGCCCTTCTTGAAAGGATAGTCAAGCCCAAAAGGTTCGGTGTGAAACAAGCCTTAGCCAACACTGGTGCCAACCAAGATATCTCTCAAGACTCAAACATGTTGCAACGCTCTCAACTTGATCAAGCAGACACCGAAATGCAGTGCTTACGTAGGTAAACTTTTAGGAGTCCTTCTTTTCTCTTCCCTGTTTCAGGAGTCAGCACTGCACATGGCGGTACGCGTGAAAGACCCTGTGGCGTTGGAGCTGTTGATGCTGGCGGGGGCTGACATCAGCTTGCAAAACGTTGGGGGGTGGACTGCCCTGCAGGTATGCCCTGACAAAGTCAAAATATTTGTTGGCGATTGGGGATGTGTTACGACGCGAAAAAAAGCATCTCAAGCCGGTTCTGCCTGACTCCGGCTAGTGCTGCCAGCGGCTATACGGGACAATTTTCTGGGATTACAGATTTTAAGTTCTGATGTCATTCGTGTAGGTGTATAGCACCTCTGAGACCACAGGTCTTTTAGTCGTGATCTCATCTCTGTCTAGTTGGAGGTTTGGGATCTTACATGCAACTGCTTCACTAAAGGCTTACTGGCTCGAATTTGACAGTGCAACTTTTTTTCGCAGGAAGCAGTGTGTGCGGGGGAGCCGGCGCTGGCAGCTATCATCATGCGAGAGTATCAAAGCTTGGTGAGATTGTTGACCAGTACCCGAGTGCCTTCATAATCGATCTTCAGACCGACTTAGAAGCTGTCCCCCAACGCGGTATCAAGTATGATCACCTGTTACATGCATCTCCTTAAGCTTGTTTTATGTGAAGGTTCTCAATCTGTGCCATATATCTTAGGACTGCCAACGGGCGTTCTTCCAATGTGCAGGAATCACTAAGCATTTGTCATGCCACTTCCTTTTTCCAACAAGGTCCATCAGCGACCAAACAGCAAAGCAAGGCCACTATATTGTTCATTTCAATCCTAGCCCCACAAGAACCGGCGGTGCACCTTTCTAAATCAAGAACGGTGCGTGTCTTCTCCTCTCCAGGCTTGGGCCAAATGGCTGCGGCGGTTGCCCCGTCTGGTCGCGACCATGAAGCGCATGCGCGACTTCTACATGGAGCTCACCTGGAACTTTGAGAGCTCCGTTATCCCCTTCATCGGCAAGATTGCCCCCTCAGATACTTATAGGTGAGCGCCTGCTTCATTGGTTTCTCTCTGAGCACATGTTAGCAATGGGCAACGAGGGCTTTGGTGTGTTGTAAGAACTTGTTGGGGACCTACACATAGGCTGCAACGTGCAACCTCTGAGAGTATGTCCGGCACTTTGCAATCGAAGGTAGCGTCCAGTAGAATATCTTTTGGACGATGGTCACATGGCCATGCAAAATCACAGCAGCTTCGATCCAGTGTACTCCCTTTGACCTTCCATGCAGTTTCTCGGTGTAAGAAGGCAGGGGGTGGTCAACTTTTGCAGAACAGATGCACAGGAGAGTAGTCAGTGGGAAACGTGCTCTGAGGCACACGAAACGTGTCTGCTCTAAAGGCACACGAAACGTGTCAATTCGGCTTCAAGGCTGACGTTCCCTTCCCACGCCTCACTTTGCAGGATCTGGAAGCGCGGCGCGTCCCTGCGCGCCGACATGACCCTCGAGGGGTTCGACGGCTTCCGCATCAAGCGCGCGGACCAAAGCATCCTCTTCCTTGGCGAAGGCACCCCCGACGGGCGCGTAAAGCCTGGGGGCGTGATCGTGCTCATGCACAAAGAAAAGGAGATAGCGGACGCCCTCGAGGGCGCGGGGGGATCCCTGAGCGATGCTGACCTGGCTGCTGACGTGGCGGACCTGTTCAAGACGAACGTGCACCGGGCGGGGCTTGACGTGACGAAAGCGACGCTGGTGCCGGTGAAGACGTGGCGGCGGCACGAGAAGGAGGAGGCGGTCGGGCCGTGGCAGAGCAAGGTGGGGCTGCTGACGTCACTAAGTGACGTTCCTGCTGACGTATAAAATGTCAGCTTTTTAGTACAGTTCCCAGACCTCAAGGAAGACGCTATACCCGCGTCGGACAATTGAGAGGGCAGTAACCTGCTGCGAAATTTTCTCGCGGCTACCGATAAATGTGCTGGAGCGCTTTGAGCTGCACACTCCTTGTGCAGTCCAGGAGGTTGGTTAAGTGCTCGGTTAAAGGCTTCTAATTTGATGAGCACTGGGTGGACGGTTTCTTTGTGTTGCTTTTTCTTCTTGCAGTGAGCCCTTACGGATCTCGCCGTGAAAGGACCAATTGCCAACAAAACATGTAGCCGAACAACGGCCGAAGCGCCAACGAGCGCACCGCCGCATTTTACCTCTTCTCGGGTCTGGAAGAATTATCTATTCAACCGAGTCAACCTAGCGTCTGCTCTTCTTCAGGTGACACACTTGTCCGTGTACGATCAGTACTGATATAAGAAGCCCAAGTTATAATACTTCAAGCTGCCAAAGATGGTTGGGATTCGTCATGGACATGGGGTAGTCTTGGGGTTTTGCGTTTTGCGTGGGCAGGGGTGCGGAGCAGGGATACATTCATTCAGGCTTTCAGTGTTCGCCCCCTTCTAATCATAACTTGCGCTTGTGACTCATTCTAAATATTCACTTCTAGCTTGCGGTTCTTCGCAGGTGATCGACATGCACCACGTGATGGTCACCTTCCGCTCGCGCAAGGTCCCCGGGGCCATGTCCGACGAAGAGCTGTTCAACCTGCGTCCCGAGGACGAGGACGCGGGTTCCGCACGCAGCGATGACGACTATGCTGACGTCCTCACGGAGGAGGAGCGTAAGCAGCTCAAAGAAGCCATGGAAAACGCGCCTTCGATCGACCTGGATTCTGAAGCCGGTGTCAACGAGGCAGGGGAAGACGGAAGCGAGCGGTCGTTGACACCCAAAGAGTCGGCGGCAGAAATCGGGGCCGGAGCGGAAAAGGGACTGCGGAACGGCGGAGAGGGGGCCGGAAGTTTGACACCAGAAAGGGGAAGGAGTAAAGAAGGAGCCCCGCTGCTAGGATCGGCGTCAACGTCTGAAAGCGAGGGGCTCGTGCCAAGCGAGAAGCCCGCGCGGAAGAGTTGGTTTGGGTGGGGCAGAAAACAGCACGCATCGTCCGAGTCCCCGTCCGAAAACGTGACCGATGCGGACGGTTCCAGTCGGAGCGGCGCCGATTCGATCCAGTCCCCCATGCATTCGAAACGGGGCAGCAAGCACCAGGGGGGCGAGGAGCGAAAGGAGGAAACCGGGTCAGAAATGGAGTTTAGCAAGGGGTTAAAGCCGACGCTTTGGCTGACGGACGGGTTTCCGTTGCGAGTGGAAGAGTTACTGCCCCTGCTGGACCTGCTGTCGCCCCGGGTGAAGGCGGTGCGCCGGTTGAGGGAGCTGCTGACTGTGAAAATGCCCCGGGGGACTTTCCCGGTCAAGGTGAGGCGGTGGCCGAACTTCGGTCGGTACATCTCAAACTGACTTAGCAGGCGTGTGATACAAGTCACGGGGGGGTAAAGTGTGATACTTAGGGTAGGGTGGGTGCGGAGTTGTCTGGTTTTTGTTTCGCCCTTATTTAATGTGCCTGGTTGACTCAAGTTCAGATTACACGCCAGTTGGGTTACATGAACGTTGCCCAGTAAGGGTGGTAGGACTTTCAGCGACGCCTCCATATGGACTTGGAGTTTGTCGAGATAGTTATTTAGGGCCAAGCTCAATTTCAACGTAGGCAATGAGCGACTTTTTGCATCGACTTTGGTTCGAGGAGTCAAAGCGGTTGACTGTCGAGATACCTCAGGGAATGTTTTCGGTAAAGGTGAGGGGTGGCCGGGGGTCCATTGACAGTTGCTCATCAAAATGGGAAGTGGTCGGAATAGCTTTTCAGGTCAAGCCAAGTCTCGACGGGATGATCGAGCCACTTTTCGCATCGGAGAACCACTTAGGACAAATGATCGTAAGCTGGAAACTTTTTCTGACGGCCAGATAGTCACCGAATGTTCGCCAAAGCGGCGGTAGCAGCGGAGGACAGAGTGGTATTGTTTTCCTACCACCTTCATGAACCCGGTTTTGTTCACCCCAACTCAGGCTTCCATTGCCCCTACCTTCCCATCCAGTGCAGATCAAGCGGCTCAGCCTTTTGGGTCCTCAGTGAGTCAGGATACTTTTGTCTCTCAAGCAAAGTGTCTCAAGGAGCAATCTGCGTCGCAACATTAAGAATCAAGGCACACGTTTCCTTGATCCTTCTCGCTCGCGGCCCGTTTATCTCCAGGTCGCGATACCCATTATCCCTACGATCCGAGTCGTCGTCACCGTTTCCAAGTTCCGGGAGGTTGCCCGGTTGGCTCCCCCGGGCACTGAGGAACTAGAGGAGGATGAGTTTGAGGACGCGCAGTCGGAGATGCCCAAGCGGGGCTGGATGGAGTGGGTCCGGGGAGCCCCAGGAGAGAACGAGAGCGGAGAACGGACCTCGGGGGATGGCGCGGGCGGACCGGGGGCAGGTAAGCGCAAAAATGGCTCTATTTCAATTTCATTCGTAGAGCAGCTTTTATCACTTCCTTCTTGCTTTGCTTGAAACTTCAACGAGCAATCATTGGAGCCTTAGGGGGAGCCCCAGAAAGAACTAGAGCGGAGAAGGGTCCTCGGGGGATGGTGCGGGCGGAGCGGGGGCAGGTAAGTGCAGAAATGGATGTCTCTAAGAGTCGTTTGTAGAGCAGCCTTGTTCACCACCTGTTTTGGTTCTTTCCGGGCATACGGGGCATCATTTCAGGTTGAATAGAAGTTTTGTTTTGCCCTTCCATTCGCCCTGCTGCTTTGGCGAAAGGCCTTTTCCTTTTTTTGCTTTGCTTTGAATGTACACGGAGTATTCCTTTGAGCTGTACGGGAACCTCCGAAGATTACGAAAGCAGAAAAGGGACCTCCGGGGATGGCGGCGCAGGGCCGGGAGCAGGTAAGCTTCTTTGGAGCAAGCCCTTTGAGGTTTTATTAATAACTGAGAGCGAAAGAAAAAGGTTTGTAGTTGGGAGAAACAGCAAAAGAAAGGCAGATGCACTTGCCGAAGCTTCGATATGCTCCAAGAGAGTGGAACCGTTTGTTTAGCGCCCTTCTGACGCCATAAGCATCCTGAGGTACCGCAGAGTATTCAGAATTTCAGAAACTCAGGCATCGTGTGGCATGCCACAGTTGTGACGTGAAAAATCATACGTTCCACAATATTTCGACGTGAGATACGGAGAAGCCCCATCACCAATAGTCTCGATGTTTCCTTTTCCCTCCGCAGCAGCCTTTTCAGTGTTCTGACTCCCTACGACAGCTTCGGAGTGCTCCTCCGAACTTCTGTTTCTATCTTCCGCAACCTTCCGGAAAACACCTGAGATTCGTCAAAGACTCGAGGTTATTCGGGTCATTGACAAGAGAGATGACAACAAAACCCAGTTCACTCTTCAAATTGCAGCGGACGCCTTCGCAATCCCGGCAGACTACGCTTGGGTGAGCAGCGAGGAGAAGAGGAGGCGGGACCGAGAAAAGAAGCAGCAGAAGAGGTTGAAAAAAGGGAAGGGCAAGGTAGGCAGTAGCGAGCAGAACCAAAAGGGCTAGGGCGTTGCCAGCGTAGATTGTGTTAGCAAGTCCATCACCTGGCTGTGGCTTAGTTCAACGTCTGTCAATACATGCTAGCATAAGCCCGCTTAGGGAGTTCAGTCAGGTTTCAAAGCTCAGAAATTGCAGAAAATCGAGCCGCAATCGAGCCAGCGCAAGAGGGCAGAGCATGTATAGAACGATGCGTCAGCCGAAGGTGACCGTTCATGGACCGTCAATTTCTTCAATCGAGCTCACTCAGTGCAATTGATCCTGAAGTTGGACATTGTATTAAATTTTCGTGATCCAGATGTTGTATCACCGTTATAGCGATCGACGTACTTGCGGACCTGAAATGCGAGGCATGATGTCATACGAATGCAGCGCACGGACTGATCCAGGTGCTCGTGCAGTGGTACTAGCGCTGGCCCGGGCGCCATGCATGATTGCCATGTAAAGCGCACGATGGCGCTTGTCAGAAGCACGTACGTGGCAGCGTCCACACCTGTACTGCCGCTCGTGGATAATGAAATTTCAGGTGCCATTCCGACGTACAAGCAACTTAACCTGCGAGTCGCATGAATTGGAATTCCGTGGAAGCTTCAATAAAACGGGCTAGCCTGAGCTTTCTGTGAGTCTCGGTTATCGAGGCATGCCACGATGCGGCATGATCGACTAACTTATGTACCTCTACTTTGGTATACATATGACATCGAGACTAAATGATTAAAGGTATGATTGACGTGACGCGCTGGCATGCACTAACTCTAGCAATTCTACAAATGACACCTTCAATCACTCGAAATGGGTATCGCATGTGTGCAACTTACTGCCTTCACTCGAGCCAGCGCGCTTTCGATCAAATTTGAAATCGAGCTGACAAGCCTGCACTAAGACAGCTAGGCTAGTCTATTCCGACATGGCAACGGACCCGTTTCCTTCAGTGCGTGCACGGTGCCACGTGTGAAATTGCAGCTGCAGTCGGTGTGAGTTCATGGCGCAGTCTCGTCGTACTTTCGCTTTGTTTTTGATATTGTTCGGCGTCCCATCTGATCCCGTTTCTAGCTAACAGCAGTCCCCCACAGGTATATGATCAACGCATGAATGTTCTACAATGTAATAAAGTACATCATGCGTCATGTCATTGGCCACCGGTTGACATGTTAAGCTGCAACTGACGTGTCTTTCCTTGTTCGGAAGCGCACTCTTCACGGGCCTCCGTTCGCAGAGCTGCGTATTGCTCTTTCAGATGCAGGATCTGCGCAGAAGAGGATATGACGTAAGCAAGTGCGGTCTCCTCGTCAGCGATACTTGATTATGAAAACGGCACGGTGTGAGGTCTACAAGTTTCAAAAGTAAAATGTGCTTAATGTTGGATCACCCAACACTACTGTGGTTGTAATTGAGCAGTGGGCTGGATGCAAAAATTATTTTGGATAGAAACCACGCAAGAGAAAGTTTAAGAGGACTTGTTGCCAGTTTGAAGACGTCAGAACAAGGTGAATCGACCAGAGAGGTAGTCACAAGCGGAGACTCCCTCGTACTTACTTCGCCCACTGCCGAATCACCTTTAACCTCCTGCTTATGTGATGCACAAGGATGTGCTGACGTCGGCAGAGAGTGCTATTGAGGAGTCTCACCTCACTGTGCAACGGGCTGTTCAGGCAACATGTGTTCGTCAGGGACTGAAGCTCTTCACGGACAGTCGCGTCTTTTGCGGACGCCCACACCTCGCTCTGGCAGACGAGCAGCAAGACCGTCACCAGGTCGACACGTGTCGGTCCGTCAGTGGCTGGAACCGGTTCGGTCAGCGGATCCTCCGCTAGCAGAGTGTTTTCTCTGCTTCGTTCTATGGAACTTGAATCAAAGCGCCCCGTTCCGTTGGTCAATTTATCCGGCCCTGTTCCGTTGATGCCATTGTTTGGCACTGCTACGGCCGTTTCTCCCAAACCTGAAACTCCAGCCCCTTCTGATTCCGAATCTTTCTCCATCTCCGATTGTGCATAACGTACTTGTGGTACGCCCACTTCGTCGAACTCTTGTTCCGCCGACGCTTCCATTCTCGCTCGCTTCGCTGCGGGCTCTAAGTCTCTCTGCCCTTCGAAGTCTCTGCTTTTGTCGACTGACGTCACGCCATGTCTCTCGACAAAAGTGCCACGTGTCTCGTTGGAAGTATCCCTGTTATTGTCTACCGTCGGATCGTCACAGTCGAGGGGTCCTCTTGGCTCGATGCTGGTTTTAAGCCTTCGCTCTGTTTGCCGCGTCACCCAGCTTGACACCAGCCGGAAGATTCGCAGCGACCGCAGCTGTCTAAGGATTTGGTCCTGCAAGGCGAGAAGCTGATTCGGTTTCTTAAAGAACAGCTCGATTTGTTGGGTCTGAAACGGATAATTGCTGCAAAAATCCACAATCTGTGCTAACATCAAGCGGATATAGACCGTAGCGTCCGAGTTAGGTTAGGTTCCCAGTTGACTTATGAGTCCTTGGTCCTTGATCCAGGGTTTTGAGGAAGGTGGATTTGAGGCCTATGCGCACACGCAGGGTGACGGGATCTGTACGGGTTGGTTGTCAACTCGATCGAAAGGGCGAAGTCCCTTCTGGCAAATTGCGATCGAAGCCTCCGCTTGTTAAGAAATCTAGGCTCTCTTACTGCTCTATTTCGACAACGTTCTATCTTGGTTCCCGTCAGGTTTGCGTCAACGGGATCCTACTTCGACACTGAAATTTCGGGCGAAGAGATAAAATGAGCGGCGATATGCAAAGACAATCGCCCTACAACCTAAAGTCAGTTCGAAGGGGTCCGACCAGAGGCGTCTCAACCATGCACTAAGACACAGAATCACGCACATTCCATGTTTGTAAACAGCTGTCTCCGCTAGCTTGACGGCAGGGAGCACAGCCATCTCTGTGGCAACATCACAAGAGAAGGATTCTCCTGGTCGAAGCAAAAGCAAGTCCAACAACCTAAACCAGGCGCTAAACAAGTGGCTACCTTGACGGCCTCCACAACCTGCCCCTCCCGCGGCACCAACGCGTCCTCGCCAACTGGCGCCACCGCCCGCATCCACGTCAGCAAGTGGGTGACGTCATCCGGCAGGTCCTCGAGGACCGCGCCGAGCGCCTGCTCCCCGGTGCTGACGTCAGCACGACGGAGCACGTCGGAGATGCCCGTCGAGGCGTATGCTGCCACCGCCCACCATTCAGGATCGGGTCGGGCCTGGGAAGGAGGGGAAAATTGCCTCATGGATCAGTGCTGCAGAAAGTATTCAGGAACGATGTCTTAGGTTCCCGTTGAGACGTTTCTTGCCGCCTTCTTGCCCCTTCATGAGTGTCGGGACGAATCTGGAGGGACGAGGGTCGGTTCGCGAGAAAATACACTCAAGAGAGTTCCGGGAGTTGAGCTTAGACAAGCGACACTCCGTAAGTCTGTCTGAAGAATCTTAGTGAGCAACAAGCAGCGAGGTTGAGAGCCTCTTTCCAGACCGCTGTCTTGAAAGCGCTTTTTTCCAGGCAACTTTCGTCGACGCAACCTGGTTCCTCCCCTGCTTCCTACACAATTGTCTTTCCGCATCATCCAACCCTTTCTCCACTCGAGTTGCTTCGACGGAGAGGGGTATCGAACAACAGGCCGAAATATCAGCAGAGAATTGAGCGCGGGATGTCAGGAGGACGCAAGAGGGGGTCGACGGGAACTGTCTACTCTTTGATCCTTTGTATGAGCTCTGGTACTCTAATGATGTGAATTTCAGCGAGCGTACTAATCGTGTAAAAATTCGAGCAGCCTGGGGATCAGTAGAAGAGAGGACTCCCCAGCGGGCCAGTAGGGAGCCATGAATTTATCTAAGATATACCTCTGAAAACCCGAAAGCTTGAGCAAAGGAAGACTCGAGATGCACCCGAAGCATACCAGGCTGAAGAGAGCGGCAGACGGCTGCGCCGGGGGCGTCAGCATGACGTAGCCCCGGGACTCCCCGGTCACTTTGTCGATCTGCTGCATGGCCTGCCATAGGAGCGGCAGGGGCACCCAGTGGGGGGGGTACTTGAACCGGGCCACGTCGAGAATGAGCACCAAGTCGCGCGCAGCGTGATACCCCCCGATGGGTGAGAAATGGCCATCACCCGTCTGTGATGTGAGACGGAAAGGAATGGTTACGATGATTCTTCTGCTATCACTTGCTTCTGAGGGCGTGAAGGGTAGTATTCTTGGGACTGCGGGACAAGAGGAGTAGCCGCCCTCTAGATGTAACAAGGGAGTAGAACATAGAGTGTGTGGCTCCCGTTTGCGCCTGGAAAGGATGATGAGGTCTTAGTCAAGTATCTCTTCCGCTTACTGGATGATTGAGACTAAGCTTTCTCCTTTCTCGTTGTGATGAACAAGCGGCTAATTTGAGATGAAATTTGAAACTCGTACTTTCATTGACCAGCTTTTCTGCTTCTCAGTCTCTTGCTTCTCTTTGGAGCCTTCTGGGGCCGACACAAAAAAGAGATTTCAAGAAACATCTCTCAAAAACGCTCCTGTCGCAACTGACCTATAAAGGAAAAGTGGGACTCTGAAAGAACTTGGATTCTCGTTCCGCCGTTCACAGTAAAGCCGCCCGTTTCCTCCAAAGTCTCTCTTGCGAAGACATCTCAATCGCACCAAAAATGGTAGTCGACGAAGTATCAATGGTTGCACTCATTGAGAGGATCTTTCCAGATAAAGAACGGTTGTTAATGGAAGAAAGTAGAGGTGTAAGGAGAGCGAAAAGCTTCAAGAGGGGAAGGAAAAAGAAGCAAACGACCTCGCCTGCAGGAACGCCCTCCTGCTGTACGCCACGATTATATGCCCCTCCCCACCTGCGGTTGCGCGCTGCACATCTTCTCGGAACCCCCCCTCGCTCCCGCCACTCGCAAGCACGCTTTTCACCCCCGCACCCGCACACCGGGCTAAACACACCAGCTTATTGAACACGATGCCGTCTTTCTTGATCTTTTCTAACGGTTCGCAGCAGTCCAAGAGCGCTTCGTCGTACCAGCGCCAGGGACCTTTCCACGTGCGCCCGGGATCGATCGATAGGGCGTTGAGCGCGACGGAGAGGGAGGCGAGGCCGCAGTACGCGGGTTCGGCTTGGGTTTGGAACTGGGCGATGAGGGGGAAGAAGCCGGCGAGGCCGCCTGATACGAGGGCCTCCGCAAAGATTGTCTGCAGCATACAATAAGGAGGTTGAAAGGCCACTCCCCGAAGGGGGGGGGACACAAGGCTCTGTGCGTTTTGGCTCACAGATGCCTCCGTCCATGTTACGATCGTGTGCAGACAACAAGGGACAGTTTCTCAGGCAATCCTTGCTCTGATGAAGTTCTCGCCTTTGATGAAGTCCATCATGCTGACGAAATGAGCGATCCTTGGAGAATATATCAGAGAAAGATCCCCTGTGTACATGTTCAACTCTACTCCAGCCGGCCTTTGCACATGAGTGCTCAAATTGCTGCTCGGAAGAACGGGCGATGGCCTCGAAACTCGAATCTGATTAGCGGTGCCATTCTGAGACCTGGGAGCTATCGCAATGATACTGGGCGACGTGAGTCCACAGCTTCCCGCCAAAGGGATTGACAGCTGTCGTGTAGAACACCCACCTTCCCTTCCTCAGAGGCAAAGTCGATGGCAGGGGGAGACGGGAGCTGGCGTCTGTAGAAGGAGGGCTGAGCTGGCGCTGTCTCCTGCATCAGACCTGCGGGGGGAGTAGGCCCCGAGAGCCGCCCCGCACACTTGCAGTCGGCCAACATGTTGGAGCAGTATTGCCCTTCAATTCTCTGCTTATGTAGCGGCTAAACCATTCTGCTTTTACCAGCTGGCGCACCCGATGTAATCTCCTCTGTCTGGAGATCCCAGCAAAATTGGGAAAGGCGCCCGACGGGAAGGAGTTGGCAGCTGTCAAGCTAGCTGTCTGCTTTTGAAAGGGTCTGCCAGGGACCCTGGTCTAAATCATCTTGTAAGTGGGCAGCTCAAGCTCCTTGGGCATCCCAGCTGGATCACGTTTCAATTGTGTCCAAAAGCGTTGTACCGTATCAGTTGCAGCCTTCGGAAAACGCCGTCAAAAACCAAACCTGCTGAGCTTGGTGTTCGATGTAGTGCCATTCACCACGTGTCTTCTAGCTCTAGTAGCTGACACTTGAAAGGCATTTAATGCAGTTGATTGTCACTAAAGGGGTGGCAGACGGTTTGGCTGAGACAATTCAGCGAAGACGTCTGAAATTTGAATGCAATGCTGAGAGGGACACAGAGCTAGCAGCTCAACGTTCAAGGACCGACAGTTGAAAGCATGCTGGTTGACTCTTCCGCTTCTTCCGCTTCCTCTGCCTCGGATCCCCCTGTGCGAATAACGTCAGCAACCGAGGAAGAAGTGCAAGCCAACAACCATTACCGCCGCATTTTGACGATGTAATGAAGAGGCGTTTTTATTTCGCGGCGATCTCCCGCCTGGAAACGGTAAAATGCCGTTTGTGATATCACCGACGCGTTGCTGTGCAGTATATAGGCTCCTGGGATAGGGCTGTGCAGTCGCTTAGTGCTGCTGGCTTACGAGCTTGTCATGCTTTACGTCAGCGATGCGCGGAGATTCGCCTGTATGATCCACGATTGAGAGGAGAGTTATTTGACAGTTTAGTAGTACCCGTTTTGATGCACGGAGCGGAGGTTTGGGGGGCTACATCGCGGGTCAGCATGACCAGTTTCGGAGATCAGGAGAGAGATGCGACCGAGCAGGTGCATCGCGGGTTCTTTAGAGGTCTTCTCGGGGTGAGAGCTAGCACGTCAGGGATTTCGATCCTCGGCGAGTTTGGTCGGTTTCCACTTTTAATGCGTAGGGTCAGAGCCATTTCATTGTATTATAATCGCTTGATTGATTTGCGTGGTAGTGGTAGGTTAATTGATTTAGCATTTCAGGATAGCGTGCAATTGTGGAAGGAGTGGGAGTTCATGCATGATAGTGCAGCATTACCTGGTACTCGGCACTCTACGCCGAGAGTTAGAGGCTGGTACGGCGATACTATACATATGCTAGGTGGTCTTGGCTATCGTACTGCAGACCTGCTGCGCTGAGGCGAGTGGGATGTTCCATCGATGATATTGGATCTGCAGAGACGTTATTTGACGGGCTCGCACAGATTGGGGTCAGTCAAACAGACTTACGATAGATTGAGCCCGAGGTGGCAACTGCCTATTTTAAAACATGGTATCTGCGAACTAAAACAGCGTCGTTGGCTGTTTTACAACGTTTTACTAGCGTTTTAAAACGTTTTGGGCGTTTTAAAATGCATTTCAAAGATTTGCCGCCATGACCTCTTGATTGCATTTTTTTCTTGTTTTTTCTTGTTTTATTCGTATGTGTCACCTATCCGGACATGTGCCATCCTTCAACTGAGTGGATTGACATGATATCATGAAGATATAAGTTGATTCAACATACATATCAGTGCACATGCACATGCCTGATTTGGTTAATAAGAACACTGAACGGTTAGGAGTTTAATGCTTCAATGCTGCAATAAATAAGTTGGATTCAACTAAATCAACTACCTAAATAAAACGTTGAGATGTAATTACGGAAGTAAGACTTGCAAATATATGCATCCGCTATATACCACATATCCGTTAGTTCAGGTCACATGCAATTAGTGACCGGACTCGGGTTGCATATGTTGAAAAGAAACCATTAAATGAGTGAACCGCACATGCCGCATGTTTTAACACTAGCAGGTTTACGATCGTTTGCATCGCAACCAATTTGCATTTGCACTGCTTAAGTAAGTTGCTTTATCTGCTGAAGTACGCTATAATAATGGAGTAGACGGCTTGGGCTGTCCAAGCTTTGGGCTTGATATGCTATCGAGATAAGCGCCGTGTACATAGTTACTGTACAATGTTTCGGATCTTGAGCTAAAATCCGACTCAATAAACATTCTTCACTGGCCCGGGACTGGCCCTCTCTACAAGAAAGAGTGACGGCTTATTGAGTCTACCGTAAAACCACCCGAGTGGCTCTGCGTCCACCCCTCGTGACATGTTGCGTTGTCTCGACCCCGTTATTCTCTCCTGCCACTGCAACCGAGTTCTGCTCCCTCCAAATTTGTCTTACTGATTGCGGCATGTCTGGCCGTGTCTGGTCGACATCTTGCCTCACAAAAGCATCTAACACTGCCAGATCCCCCGGCTCCAACTCGTAGTGCCCTTGGTCCGTGAGCGGGCTCAACTTTATTGTGCATAAAATGGCAGTTAGAGGCATCGGATCCGCCTCCCCCTCGTCTTCATAGCCCCCGTACTGATAGGCGAGGCGGGTTGCGTCCACAGCCTTGTAGTATTTCAGGATGACTTCCACTCCAGCCTCTCGTGTTGCTTCTGCAATTGATACAGGCCGATGATAGTCAATGCGTGCCCCACCAGACGTGACCTTGAACATTTTCTGTACTCGAGCAAGAAACCAAGCAGTCTTGTCGTCACTGGAAAGCAGCTCAATAGCCACATCATCGAACAGACCGACTTCTTTGCCCTCTGCGTCGGAATCAGTAACGGCCTCAACCGAGGAGCCTGCACGCTGCGTGCTAGCCTGTACTCGTCTCAAACGATCTAGTGACAAGTGCTCAGGAGCCGCGTTCAGTTCACTAATCAGACGTGCCTTGTACACCAAGCCCTTTCCGGGGACTTCGACCGTTGTACTCGTCTTTTCCCGGACTGAGGAATCGGTGCCATCCGTGCTTGCATCCCCAATTTCTTGAAAAGCATCCAAGATCGACGAACGGATTACCACAGCCTCTTCACTTGCAAGATCAAGCTCAGTGCAAGAGCTCATTCCAGCATCGATGGGCAGAGGCGTTGCGAGAGAGGGCTGAAGACTTATCTGCACCGCTGCTGACGTGGCACCGCGCCCGCGCTCCGGTATGGCAGGCTGCGCCGCTGCTGACGTGGCACCGCCCCCGCGCTCCGATACGGCAGGCTGCACCGCTGCTGACGTGGCACCGCCCCCGCGCTCCGGTACGGCAGGCTGCGCCGCTGCTGACGTGGCACCGCGCCCGCGCTCCGGTACGGCAGGCTGCGCCGCTGCTGACGTGGCACCGCGCCCGCTTGACGATGCGACGGTGTTGGCAGCCTCCGGGTCGAGCTCTTCGTCCGTGATCAGCTCGTCCGCCAGGGACTCCGATTCGGAGAGCGACGCTGGCCAGGGGTCGGTCCACTTCCGTGCGGCCTGCAGGACAGGAACCATTCCGGCAGTTAGTGCTCGGTCGCGCGCCATTGCCAGCCCTGCAGCCCAAGCTTCCACAAGCTTCTCATCCGGAACTGATTCGTAGTCCTTCATGTTAGCACGCATGCTCAGAGTCCCGTTAACTTCCAGCCAAAAAAGCTTTCGCCTTCTCGACGTGACAAACAACGGACTGTCCTCATCCACTTTGATCTGCTCCAAACGGGCCACGTGACTGATCCTTTCTAGTGCCTCCCCAAAGGTGAAATTGTGCTTGTTCCGGACCCACTGACCCATGAGAGAAAAGATGCTCTCAACACAATCACTGCTCGCCTTCTCCAAACACACATCCAAATGCGAGAAGCGATCACGCATGACACGGATCAGATTGACAGCAAAATGGCAGCTGATCAGCAGGTCGGTCTGCCCTTCTCGAGTCAACCAGTTCTTCTTGAGAGTGTGGCCAAAGCCGCGGTGGCGAATGAACTCGGAACCCATGTAGACGATGTTGGCCACGAAAGACGCCAGCACCACCCGCTGGTACAGGGAGTCGACTCCATAGAACACCTGCAAGAAGGAGTGGATGACTTCAAGATGCAGCATGGTTCCTGTAACATCTTCTTGGACGCGCCTTCCATCAGGAAGGGTGAATCCTGCTTGCAACTTCTCGAGGCAGCTCAACACTCGCAACGAAGCAGCGCGCTGCACAGCAGCAACGCTCTGCTTATCGCGGACATCCACATCTTCTTCAAGCAAACCGTGCTCAGACTTCGGAAACACGGACATCACAAGCCTAAGATGGTTTATTGTGGCAAGATGTGTGCCCCAATAAACGTTTCTGGAAGCGACAAGGAGAGGGTTTCTGAGCTTCTTCCCAATGTGGAAAGGATCCTGATCCATCATGACAGGATACCCGTTCACAACCTCTGCCTTCATGATAAACCCCGGGCACTCCAAACCATAAGTACCTCGAGCAATACTCTGCAGCATGCATTTGACTCTCCGTCGATCACCATCAGAGGCGTGCGACACCAACACTCCTATCTCAGCAAAGTGGGTGACCAGGAAAGACCTCACCTGATCCCAACGCTGCTGAATGCTCACATGGGTGAACGTGTTGCACGTTGGCAGTATCGCCAGCACTAAAGTCGGCAGATCTGCGCACAGGACGTTAAGCGCGACCACGAAGCACATTGTGCCCGTAGCATATGTGTCGAAAGCGCCAACGATGCTCTCATAGCTCGCCGCACTCGGATTGCAATCGAAGGTGCAGACATGCGGAGAGCCATCAACAGCTTTGGGTCCGCAAAACCCATCAATGCAGTCGGTGCGGCAATTCCAAGTTGCTGAAGCAATGCACGCGGTTTCGTCTTCACTCACCTCGAGAGGTACCTTACCAATGATGCCCTTCTTGGCCATGAGTTGCTTGAGCAACCCTGCCAAGTGCTCAAAAGTCGACTCCTGCAGCAAGCCAACGTACAGCAGCGCGTCTTTCCTGTACAAGGATTTGCATGTGTTGATTGCAGGGCCCAACAGGTTCACATTCAGGAAGTTTGCCACGAGTGGACCACCAAATTGCTGCAGGCATTCATACATGAGCTTGCTGCTGCGACTGTGCCGCTTACCAGTACCCTTGCCATCATGCTCGTGCACAGTGAGCAGGTTCTTGCCAAGATCAAGAAGAAAGTTCAACAATGTGCTTCGACCTTCAAAGGCCCCAGACTCGGAAGCACGTCGAAAGAACTCAGCAATCTCAGGCAGCGAACCAGAGGCAAGGGCTCGCTTCAAGCGCGCCGAAAGATCTTCCTTGCTCTTAGAAAGATTCAACACATGAACGTTCAACCAGTATCGGTCAAGTTCCAATGTCTTGCACCGCTTCTGCCACACTTTCAGCGAGTCTATCAGCTCCTGCTTCTGCAGATACTCTAGGCGAACTCCCTTCTTGCAGATCCGTGCGCCCCTCTTCGTCTCCGCCGTTGTCTCCCGTGTCAGCCGGCTCTTGAAGTCTGGCAAGGAAGGAATGGTGCGACAGTTAGCACAGTCGAACCCTTGGCATTCCTTGTGGCGGAAGGTTCCTTTATGAGATTTGTATTCTGCCATGGACGACGAGCGGTTGAAGTAGGGATCAGCATACCACAACTTGCCATCATCAAGATCGTGAAGCAAAGGTTCCACTGCATGCTCAACACCTTCAATGCAAACAGTTTCTTCGAACCAGCCAATGCATCTCTTCTTCTCTAAGAACAGGCGCATCTTCTCAGAGTCTGCTACATCAGCAACACTAGGGACATAGTTGTTGGGATACTTGGCCAGCCCGCGAGCGACACCATTGGCGAATGAAGCTGCCAATGTGGGTTGCGTGGAACTTGGGCCAGCGGCCTCCCGCTTGGCGACCATCCTGGCATGGTCCCTGCCATTGATGTGCGCCTTGATGGTGTCGCGGCTGTCGACAAAAGTGCCCCTGAAGTTGCACACTTCGCAGCGCCAGGTGTCGCTGTCAACCATTCGAGCACCTGCAAAGCAAAACTTATAATTTAGCCCTGGCTTTTTGCTTCAATGAAATGTGGTTTCCTTGCTTTATTCCAGTAAGTGCGAAAGATTGCCTGTATGACTTTGAAAGCCCGTTTTGCACAGGCTTTATGATGATTTGCATGCACTTGCATGGACTATGATAGCCGCCTGACAGTTCTAAAACGTCGGACAGCCTCCAAGACCTTGATCAGTCTAGGCTGCAGCAAAGGTCAGCTTTGCACAGGCAAGTGCGAACAGGAGGCGTGGTCGGCCTAAAGCAACGGGTGGAGCGCCTCGTCTTAAAAACCACTTGTTGATCTAATTGACCATAAGCAGAAGTCAAGAATCATGATCAAAAGTACAGTAAAGCAAGACTGCCCAGGACTGCCTACAAGTATGAACTTTGAAAGCAGCCATCTAAGACGCAGTCAATGTATGAAGCAGAGTGTTCTTTGAGTGCCAGGCGCTGAAAGAAACTTGAGTGACTGGACAATGCCTGCAGCAAGCATTAACAGACTTAATGTGCCCTGCCGAGATGCTCTTTCAGGTGCACAATTGACTGCAAAGCGCTCACCCCGATCATTGTACACCGTTACCAAGGCCTCCCTCCTGGCCTTCAACTCTTCCAGCTTCCTCTCAGCCTTGCTGGTTCCCTCCTTCCAGTCATCCAGCTTGCTCTGATGGAGTTTGCTGACAAAGTGCTGCTTCTTGAAGTTGGACAAAGAATACCTGTGACCAGTATCGTATCCCTTCGGCTTCTTGTCCTTACATAGCTCGCAGAAAACCATCCAGGTTCCATTCTCATCACAGATCAGCTTGTACTCGCCATACTCTTTGTGAGGATATTCTTTGATAAGCTTCTCCCAGAACTCGAGAAGCTTGGCAGGAGGAGTAGGACCCTTTTTCTCCTCTACATTGGCCCCTTCTGTTCCTGGCTCAATCTTCACTTTTCCCTTGCGGCTCCTGTTTTCTGCATCTTCTGCTGATGCATCCTCCAGATCCACAACACCACCCGGCTGTGGTTCAGTATCCTCTCTCCTCCGCTTCAGAGACGGAGAGACCTCTCCAAACGAGACCCGCTTGGCCGCAAGACGTGGGCTGCTTCTGCAACCCAAACTTGACACAGCCACCCTGCTTGGAGTAACACAGGAAGGCCTCTGAGTGATGGAGGCAGCGGAAAGCAATGTTGACTGTCCTGGAGCTAGGTGGTTGCTGCGGTGATGCTCACAACATTCGCAAAATCTCTCCTTTTCAGGGATTGGTTCAAATTGTTGGCAATCACAAATCCTTAGGTTGACAGGATCTAGCTGCTTCTGGCATTTTCCCCAGACGCTTGCAGCCATAATTCACCTCTCCTGGAACCACAAGAAAAAGTGACAGCTTTCTCTTTGATCAGAATGAGCTGCTTCCCAGCCTTCCCTTGGCCCCTTCTCAAAAGTCAAGACCAAAGAGTCTCAGTCACAAAGTGACTGACTGCAGGTACCGTAGGCTGAGGCGCAGCATCACCCGGTCGTACAACAAGTGTCAAAGTGTTGTAGAAAACATCGGTCCGATCCGTAGGCAAAAGCGGTCAAGTTTGTTGACACTCAGAGGACTACTGACTGGGTACCACAGATAGCTAAGGACCAGCATGGTGCAACGGTCAAATTTGGTCAACGAACCAATTGTAAACGTGCAGCATGCCACATCAGCCAGGACGACAAGCTCCCGATCCCACAGAATCTGGATGGATGGTCCCCGTCGGCGTGGGCTCTTAGGGGTTAAAAACAAAAACAGCCTGTTTTAAAACGATTTACTGTTTTATCTGTTTTATAAAACGCCCTTTTTGCAAGTCCGCCCAACACGCAGATACATGTTTTAAGATATTTCCGTTTTAAAGTGTTTTATAACCCGTTTTTAAATACGGGGGGGGGTCCAAATTTTAAAACAAGTAGTGTTTTAGATACTAGAGACAAAGACCCATCGATTGGAGCAGTATAAAACATAAATAGCTTTCATTATCGGGCGGTTTTGGATGAAGGCAAAATTAAAACGGCATCTGTTTTAAAACGGGAGTTGCCACCTCGGGAGATTGAGAGATTGGGATAGTTATACTTTTGCTCCGTACATGACCCACTATTTTACAGAGGCCTACCGTTGCCTACTAAGCTCGATTTCGTACTGGGTCACACGACCTTGCTGGAGTGACAGGCCGTTGGGGCGTAGCGCGTGACTCCCACTCCTCCCATTTGCATAGACTATGTTCATTGTGTCATTTGAATAGAATAGAGAACGAGGACCATTTCGTTTTCGAGTGCCCAGCTTATAGGTTCCTACGCACAGAGCGG